GTGCTTTGACTTTTTTCAGTTTCACTTTTCGCCTTCCTATGATTTGTTGAGCCTTGTCAATGGCCCGACATATTCATTATTCTTTACACACGATTAACTTTGGCTGTTAAGATGTTAGCCATAGTCTCTGCTCACCGCTTTCCTTGGCTAACAAGCGCTGATTGATCCGAGCAGACCAACAATTTACCTTAAAGCTAGCCTTGTTATGTCTCGAGAGAGTGGGATTTTATGTGAGACATGGATTTGCATGTCAGGATCCCATTTGAGAAAGAGTTCCAATCCTAATCAGAGATCAACTGATATTGACTAGGAATTGGCTGGAAAGTGGTGATTAATACTTTCTTAATCACTAAAAAATGTTAATTAAAAATATAACCATACCATAAGAAAGTTAAAGCAAAGTTAAAGAAACATTAAAAGTGGTAGAAACCTTCAACTTTGACTCAATATATGTTCTGTATATGTGATCTATTTATTTATTTATAGAATATGTTATAGATAAATCTGTAATTTAATATATAATCTTATAGTTAATTTCTTAACAGATCTGAGCTGTTTAATTTATTTTTTGGTACGTTTATATTCGTTCATTTTTAAAGTCAATATATTCAGAGTCAATGAATATTATAAATTTAAAAAATCTCCACACAAATATCGGTTAATTACCCATTGTGTGCACCCTTATGAAAACTGGCAACGTTGCCCCGTATCTGAGGCTCAAAGATACAAAGTATCTTTACTATGCCATTCATAAACTTAACGACTGATTCATATGTATGCCTCACACCCACGCTGTCCCTCACTTATGCAAATGACAAGTATCAAAATACGTACAAAATTAATTATACAACAAAATAGAGATATACATATAAAAGTAAAGAAACGAAACGAAACAGAAAATAGAAACTGAATCTGAGACCCAGCAGAGAAACAACAACTTAATCGTTTGGCATTTCCGCTCTGTCCAATTCCACTCGTAATAGTTGGCTCCGTCCAGCTTCCACTTCCCCAAAAAATAAAAATAAATAACACCAAAGATCGAATAAAACACAGATCTGAGGAGACAGGGCGCTCGCAAAGTGCAGGTGGTTATGGCCATGGGAGAGCGTGGGCCGCGGCCAAGTCGAGTGTATTTCCGCTTGAAAGCGGCAACAACGATATTTGTAATAATAAATTTACGTGAAATATAAAACAAAATCAACGTTGACTCAAGCCCCGGTCGACGCCCACTCATTGACACCCACTCACACTCTGGGAGACAGACTCAAGCCAACAACCGAGAAACCAACCAGAAACAGCAACAGCACCGGCAACAAAACCTGGCCAAGACACAACTCAGAAGCCTGCCTGGCCGGAGTTCGATGCGAGATGCTCACAATTAGCCATCTGAGAGAGTATCTGTTGCTTTCTCACCGCTTTCCCAAGCGACACCCATAAATGGTTGCAGACACGTCTCAGAGACCTACCTCCTAAGCGGGATCTCCGGCTATCCGTCTGTATCCGAATCAGTTAAGAGTTAAGAGATAGAGAGAGAGCGCGGGAGAATGGTGGTGGAGCAGCTTATGGTTTGGACTTGGACTTGGCTGGCATCGAGCTTTGTGACCATATTAAGGCAAATGTGATTTCCGAAGCTGGCAATTAAAAGCCAGAGCCAAAGTTGAAAACTTAGAACATTTGCATAAGCAATTGCCCCCGACATGGGTGTAGAAGGGGCTTTTCGATAGGGATGGGTACTTGAATTGGGGTATTTTATACAACAACAATTTTAACAAATATAATCAAAAGGGTTATTTCCGGTAATTAGTACCATTAACATTCTGGAAGATTTTACGTTTTTTAATAGAAATCTTTGAATACATATTTATTTGAATGAGAGTACTCTAAATTCTTTGCTATAAACTTTTCACTACATTCAGCACAACTTTTCCCCTCTTCCGTAATACTACTGGTAATCCCTCTTAGCCCCGACTGTGTCCATTCGTAGATGACCATAGCTTGATCATAAAGCAAAAATTCAAATGTGACGTTTGTTTTTTTAATTATGGCTCGCTTATTCATGTTCTTGTCTTGGGAGTCGTCATGGGGCTGCAGATTAAGCTGTCAGCGAAACAAACACAACACTATTGGCCAATTTGTACGTACTAACATCTAAATATATATATTATCCAGTTAAAGAGATATGTATATGTATGTATATATAATATACAATTTTTAGATCATTTGGGACCGCGCCACTTCGCACGCAAATCAAATTAATGTTGCATGCGTTACTTTTCCACTCTCTTTGTCCGTCCGCGTCCGTGCCCATGCCCGTGTCCGACTTGTGTCTCTGGCGACCTTGTGCCATGAAAAATGTATGCTGTTCGAGGGAAAAATTATAATCAAATTTAACTGTTGTCATCATGATTTATTTGCTCAAGAACAAAACACGACAAACGATGACGAACTCGAAGACAATCAACCTACGGGACAGAAGCCAAAAGATAAATTAATCGTCAGGCAGTCAGTCAGTCTCTCAGTCTTTCAGTCGATCGGTCTATGGCTGGAAGCAATCTATCTACAGCAGCACTCATATGAGTATATCGGAGCAAGCTCAAAAACCGAGCTTTAAGCCGAACAGAAATATGTCGTCATATCCACAGAGAAATCAACTCGTTTCGCCCGCAGGAGCAAAGCCATTTTGCAATTTTTGCAATTATTTGCCTGTTGTCAGTTAATTATAATTATTTGTGAAGCAACAATATGCATAAAAACCATACAGAAATAAATGACTATAAACACACAATTGTTTCATAACAAAAAAAAAAAAATGAAAAAATCAAGTGCCAACAGATCAAGTGTGACTTTGAAATCGGCTTAGCGATTTGAAATTAGAAGCAAATCGAAACGAAACGAAGCGAGAATAACCGGAGAGGCCCACACACCCAAAGAGGGACGATCGCGGGACGGAAATTGATCGAAACGAATTAGAATAAATTACAAAAAATCTGAATAATATTAATCAAATGTAGTACAAAGTGTGAATCATGTATAAATGATGAAATAGTAATAAATAAATCTTTTTTATATACCATATCAGTTGTAAGGAATTTTCATTATCTCTTTTTATGCAAATATTGTAAGTCTTTGGTCATCCTCAAGGCATTTTCCATGTCACGTAAACAAATATTTTGATATCTAATACCTTCCTCATGTTTGTAGAATAGTTCTCGTTCGTACAACAATCTTAACATATTTGATGGTCTAACTGATGGATAAAGATAACCCGAAGGTCTATTCCACGAATATATTCTGAGATAATTGTAATAAGGAAATATATACAGATCTCTTTAAAACAAATTTAAGGAAATTATTTCATAATTTTATTTCATAATTTAGAAAAGAACTTATGGATTGTGTAGGGGAAAAATGGTTAAGCTAATTTTTAACTTGAGTTAAGAGACCATTCGATTAGCAAATTAGTTAATTCATTGATCTACTGATAAGTGACACATTCCTTAGTTTATTGAATGGAATACAAGTTCTAGCATTTATTTTTTTCAATTCACATTTAATTGAAGATTAAATTACCATTTCTGCAATGATCTTCACCTTAATGAAAGAAGAATACATGTTTATGTGCATAATGGATTCACATAAATAATGAATTTAATTTAAAAGCAAACGATAAAATCAGGATTGTAAGGGAAGAATCTAAGTCATGGAATAATGTTAGATGCTATAAGTAAGTCCCCAATAGACTTTATTTTCGCATTAATGAAATTTGAGCTACAGATTTTTTGACTTATGGGAACCACTTTCAATTTTCAAGGTCTTATTGTCAAAGTATTTCAAATAATAGCTGTATTAAAAATAAGAAGACCGCGGCAACTATATTCTTGGCCGTATATTATGGACTACACAAATATGATATAATCTTTCTCAAGGCACCAAAAATAAATATAATAATTTTAATTAATCTGAATTATCTAAAAAGCGGAAAATAGTTTAAAGAAATGCTAAAATGATGTCATTTGATTTCATTTACTAGAACATACCTTAAAAAAGAAAGAAGACAACTTCTGTGTTAAAACATATCTTAACATTTAAAAATATTTTGCTGGTGTCGGAAAATAGCTGTATTTAGCTTTAGCACCATATCATCCCACATAGCCTTATAGATTAACACCCAAATAGAGTAATTTCCTTGAACTTTGATTCTCCATGCATCATAATTCGTTTCCAATTCGAATATAATCTAGATAAATATCCATCATGAATATCTTTTGTAGCCTCTGCACTCAAAAGTTCAGCTCTGGAAATGGAGTTTCCTCCAATCAAGCGAATGCAAAGCCGATACCGATCTCAATGAAAGATGAACAAACATTTTTAAGTATTGTCAAGTGAGCTCCGCTCCGACACTGTTTGACTTGTACAAATGAATGTCAAACGCTGCTGCAGCAGCAGCAGCATAAAAAATTAGCAATAAATTTAAATAAATAACTGCCTGGCGATATTAGATCATGCTCGTTCGGAACAAATCTCAGGAGAGCCGACAGACAGAGCCAAAATTGACTCGACTCGACTCGACTCGAAACGAAATCGAAAATTTGAATGGGAAACCACTCAAGAGTGTACCAGAGGCAGAGACTAGAGAGAGATGGAGAAGACCAAGCGAGACCCACTGAGACCTGATCCGGCCAACGCAAAAGGCACCCACACATTTTGGGGAGAGACACAGTCGCCGTTCTCTCCCGCGAGAGAACTGGTTTCTCTTCGCTTCTCTGTGGCGGCTTTCAATGACGTTTTGTGTTGGCGTTGTGTTGTGTGTGCGGAGCGCCAGTGGGTTTCTCGGTTTATTGGTCGCTCAGCGAGGCGACCCGCCCCCTCCCCCAAATCTGTACGAGTGTATCTGTGTATCGGTGTATCCGCCAGATACGTGAGCTCCTCTGGCCTGCCTTTTAATGCGGCATTTCATTCATTGATCGTTCCAATAGCGCACCGCACGCTCAGCGCTCCAGACAAGTGCCGCCGCCGGCTCGAACCCAGCCCCCATCCAGCGTCCACCCATCCATCCAGCGCTCGTCCAGCGATTGTGTGGGCCGCCCCGTCAGAATAGGTCTCGCGCTGGCTTGGCTAACGGAGTCAGAGCCAAGTGTGGTATCCCCACACACATCACATAGCATACTGCATGGTGGACGACATTGACGATCAACGATCTGTGGTCTCAGATCTCAGATCTCGCCTGTCTGCTCAGTGCACAGCGGACAAGCGCAGCAAGCGGACGCAGGCAGCGACGAGCAGCATTTTCTCCAAGCGACGACGAGCCGTTGGCCGTGTATTTTTGTCGAGTTATTGGATACAGATACAGATACAACTACAGATGCTGCTCTAAAGATACACAGCGCGGCGCGTACTCATAGATATTTTTAGCAGCCGGCCTCACGCACACGCAAACACACACACACAACAGAGCCAGTACCGCTGCCGACACACGCGGCTCGCACGTTTTGGAAAAACGATTCTTCGAGGCTTTTCCTGCATGAAAGATCGTACTCAAAATAACAACAAAAAAAAACCAAAAAAAAAACAAACAAAAAGTTCTTATCAATAATTGAATCTCGCGCACAAACAAATTTGACTTAAAGTTAATTTAATACAAAAAATACTAAAAAACGAGTTTCGGTCCAAACTTCGAGGAAATGATCAAAAAAATAAATCTTGAATAAAAGCAAATTTTTTGTTGTGTTAAAAATGCCAAATTTATGCATGAGCTAACAATTTTAATTCAAAACAAATTAAAATAGCAAAAAGATCAAAATAAGTTCGGTTTTTGGTGACTAATTAACGGACGCGCCGTCGGAATCTTAATTTCGCATACTTCTGGAACGCGCTTTAATGAACCGAAAATTAAAATAAAATCATCGACAAATCTTAATCAGAGTGGAGCCACCACCCCGAAAGCATCATCTAAATTCAAATTAAGCAACAACCACACACGGCAGCAGAGACATTGTTGGATTTATGAAATCAAAAAGGTAAATATACCATCTCCATAGATCAAACATATTATACATATGTGTACCTATACGCTATAAGGTAGAGAGCAATATTGGAATACTCATCAAAAATTCCTTCATCTCTTGTTGTTGCCCCAATAAAAATAGACAAAAAGCATTCCTTTGGCCTATCATCAGAGAGAGAGGGGTGGCGTTGGGCTTGGGACAGAACAGAACTTTTTGGAGACTGAAACATTTACTTGTCCAAGGTGTTGAAATGGAAGACATCTGGTGGTTGGTGGAGAGAGAGAGAGGACTTAGGTGTTGGGGGAAGAGGGGGACTGTGACGACAGCAAGTTGTCAACTGATTTGAAAGGTTCCAGCTTTGTTGGATCTCTGTTTTGGGGTGAGTGTGAAATACGGAATGGGAATTTAAATTAATGTGTAAACAAAGTTGTGAATGTTCAATCAACGAAGGCTGAAGAGATACACCAACCTTTTAGAGACTCCCTAAATGTAACCCGATACAAGCCGGAAGATATAAATAAAATGTTAAGCAAATATTAATTTAAACATATTTAATCAATGTGCCATAAAATAATATTTGGCATACTCATTAAAACGTTTATCTTCTGTATGTAACTCTAGACAACCATTGAAGTGGAATCTTTTTTCCTGTAGACATTCCTCATATCTAAATCAAAGTACTTAAATATTCCATGTATTATTAATGTATCAAATCATCAATCTTTGATGGGTTTATTTTCTTTAAGCCCACCAAAAATGTACATCAAATTCTATTAAATGAATCATTCCAAATCCGTTATAGACCATTTTATTATTTTGTTTTTTCCCGCCCTGTCCATAAAATTTTGAGTCAGATAATTCTGTGTTCCCCTGACCCAAATCTCAGTCAAAGTGGGAACAACAGTGTGTCCCCCAGCCCCTGTCCCTCTTTTAAAAATGCCCCTCTAGAAAAACAATAATAGCACCAGTACAAAAACACACAAAAAATTAGCCAAAGGCAAATGCCAGAAACGAAAGACCTGTCAAAGACCCAAGCAAATCAAAGCCGCTGGGTAACAGAAACCCCCCACAAAAGCACACAGATATATAGAGAGAGAGAGGAAGGGACAATCCGAGACTGTAAAGCACACGAACTTCATACATCACACATACGCAGTGTGTGCCAATTTTAATAAACAAACTCAACGTAAATGGAAAATCAAACAAATTCATTTGAGCCAAACAGCCAAGCCAATGGCAACAAATCAACAGCATAAAAAAAGAAAATACAAACCAAATAGAAATAAAACAAAAATCAAACAAAATAAAAGAAAATAAAAGATGCAAAAAAGAGAAAACGGAAAAAAGTATAAGAACTTGCCACAGGCCGGCTAAAAATAATAGCTGCCAACGGTAGCAGACACACGAGACAAAGACGGACCCCGAGAGCAGCACCGGGGGGGAGGGGCGGCAACGTGCAACTGGCAACAGCACGAGACAACAGGCAACAACAACAAAAAGAACACAAACAACATCAACCAGCTGCAACAACAGCATGGCCAAAAGCAAATGAAAGATTTTGACGCTTTTCCACAAAAAGCAAATTAAGAATCACAAATCGAAAAGGAAAAAAATAGAAGGCACAAAATAGAGAAAGAAAATTCAAGTTGCATACAATAAAAACTAATTTTAGAGCTGTGCCACAAAACAACAACAACAAAAGATATAGACGAAAAAAAATACCCATGCTTCATGCCATAGACACGGACAGATACAGGGACAATCTGAGTCAGAGATTCTACTATGGCCAGATCATTCTCGAGGGGCGATCGATTGGTTTCCGAATTGTATGTGTGTGGGAAATAATTGAACACTCAGCAGGAATAACTGCTGATTGACTAATTGGTATACATTTATTTGGTATTGTAATGGGAAAAAGGGATCAGAAGTGAAACAAGGTAATAAGACACTCTAAAAACTATCGTGAAGAAGATGTTCATTGGTCGAACATGTTCTATGCGATCCCATTTCATTGATTTAATCGTCTGGAAATCCTTTTTCTGGTTTCCAAGGCTCTTAAAATACATCCCAAGGCAGATGCCGACCTTTACCCCAGGCTCTTATCAGAGACATAAAAACTTCTTGGCCTTCCCTCGGGCTATCATTCGCTCGTGTGGTTCAGTTTTTACTGGCTCAAGCAGCAGACGCTTCATTTTCCGTTTAACCGCACCCGACTGCCCCGTATCACGCCACGCCACGCCACTCTTCCCCAGCCCGTGCAGCACTCCCTTCATTACTCCCTCCCCCTCCCCTCCTGGGGAGAGCAGACAAGCGTGCAGAAAAAGTTCTAAATTTAATGGCTACACCTAAAAATGCAGCGACTGCAACCGAACCAAAAAGTGAAGGGCAGACAGGGTGGGGCGGAGCGGAGCGGCGCGGCGCGGGTAGTAGGAAAGAGGAGAGATCCATTTGCTGGTAGTTTCAAGTGCACTCTGACTAGGCCTTCCCAGCTCTCCCGCTGCTCATCCAACTACCAAAAAAAAAAAAATGAAAACTAACACACAAGAGGCCCCAAACTTTTGATACCCTTTCAGATCGAAAATACCTATGGTAGCTATAATTTAAACAGCGAAACTACAGGCTTTTCCAACACTTTGTTCAATTCTTGGGCTATTTTTAGGGTCATCATCTTAGGAATCTTAGACGTATTATCTTTTTAGGGATGTAAGACTATTTCGATTTATACCACAGTTCTACAATCAGAACAGTTCGCAATCACAAGGGTAAAGAATCATGTCTGTTCACTTATGGCAAATTTATGCAGCAAATCAACGGCATTCAATAAATTTACGCAAAATTTCTCTATCGAATTCGAGCCTTCATTTATCGAGTAGATAGATATACGTGATGCCTCATCATAATACCCTCTGACAGGGTATTAACAACAACAACAAAACACAACAGCATGTGAAACAGACCGCTCCACCCACGGCTCCTACATTGCATCGTCTCCTCCCCCGAATCCCCCTGCGCCCTAGACGCAACCCCTTCACGCCTCGCCGCGCGCACGGCTCGCCTTTTGTCTACCTCGTTGTTGGTATGTGGCAATGTAAACGATAAGAGAGAGAAAGGGAGAGAGAGGGAGGGGGGAGAATGCAGAATGGAGCGTGGGGCATGGGCGATGTGGCAGAGAGTCATGGGAAGAGGAACTGTTCTATGTTTGTTGTCTGTGCATTTCAATTGGTGCATTGTGCCGGGCGTGTAATTGAAAACTTAAGCAGAAGCCGACGCCACATACCTCCTCCCCGTCCTCACCGCCCCACCCCCTTTACCGTTATCGAAAAATGCGCAACAAATTTTCCAATCAAGAGAAAACAGAGAGAAAGGCAAGCCTACTTCTATGCCCATTCCCCCCCTCCTGCATTCATTTCCTGCACTCCTTCCGTCCGGAACATCCTATATCCCGGATCCTGGGCCAAGCCCCACGAATCAGTAGAGCCGCTTGTTGCTGTTTGTTGAACAAACGTTTATTAGCCGCGAATACTCTTAATCGCATGCAATTTGTTGCCTTCTGTCCGGCCAACAGACCGCTCTCTGCGATTGCCCTGCCCTTTGAGCACACGGAACTCGGTAATTTTCACGTCGTTTTCCATTGCCTGGAATGGAAATGAGTTGAGAGAAGGCGGTGCCAGGGCTACGTTGCCTGCCGCCGCCCCACGCTGAAGAAGGTGAGCATTTTTCTGTGTTGTGCACTTAATTGCAGCTTGTTTGTTGCATGTCGCAAACTTTTGGCGCTACTCTATCTGGCCGGAGTGGGGCAGGGTACATTTGATTATGCCAGGAAGTGCTTGTCCAAAAGAATTACTAAACATTCCGAGTACCGAATGTGTGCATTAAATAAGTTGGAAAACTTTTATTATAGCAAAATGAAAAAGAACAAAAAGTACATAAAAGAGAACTGAATATTTCGTAATATGATAATACACAACTTTAATCATAATAAGAACGAAAATTATATTAGTTTTGACCAAACCAAATCAATGGGAAATCGAATGACGGGTGCTCAACTTATAAGCCCCTTTGTTGTTAAAAAATATATTAATAAGAAACACTTCTAATAAATATCACTTATTTAATATTCGTACATTTTAAACTAATTTTCTGCCAAAAATAAACTACAAATTGTGTTCCATAAGTGTTAAAAACTACAACTACTTCTTCATCTATAATAAAGAAATTACTATAACTGAGAGCCCAAATATCATTCATTAAATGTTGCATTTTGGAAAGCACTCAAAAAATACAGAAACATTCTGATTGTAAATCTGTGGTTTAATTTATTTCCATCCAATGATCATTAATATTTTTAGTAGAGGGCTATCGATGACCGCCATCATTGATCGTTTGAGATTTCCATTTAAAAAGTGTGGCTTATGTGGCCCGCCCGTTGTACTAGTTTCTGTGGGTTCGAATAGCTTTAAATTGATTCTATCATGGAAAACCATCATCATCATAAATATATTTAACAATATAATGTATGCTAAGCGTAGAGCATACCGCAGGTGCGCATATGTAGTTCTCTACTTTGATGCTTCTTTTCCTTAGGGTCTTTAAGCATTTCCATTCCTATGGATCGCGTGGCGAAAATTAATTATAAACTCAAATCAGAGGCGAAACCCCAGCAGAAAATCCCCGACACGTAAACAAAGTGAAAAGCTTTTCACGTGTTGAAACGTTGCAACGTTTTGTGGGGCAGGGAAATGTAATCTGAATGGCTAAGTATTGTACATTGGAAAACTATTGACATAACTCCCCCCCAGAGCAACATTTCGCTGTGCAACGCTGGATGTGAGGCACTGTGAGGCACACACGTTAACGGTGAATGAAGAAAAGTGCAACAGCGAGAGCGCGCACAGCAAAAACGCCCCATAACTTGTTTAGGCCAAGCCAAGACCAACATCTTTGAATGGTCACAGCTATGCAGCAAGTGTCAACCAGGCCAGGCCAGGCCGGTACGGGCCGGGCCGGGCCGGGCCGGGCCGGGCCTACAAGCAACAAGAATCGTCTATAGCCAATTTTGGACAATCTGCACTAAATTGACCATTTAAGTGAAGCCTGACAGACAGATAGACAGACCAACAACGTGGAGTCGTAGAGTGACTGCGATCGCCTGCTCTCCTTAGATCAACTTAGACTGCAATCAATCTGTATATCTGCTCAGGTTTACACCTCTGCATGCGAGACCCGGGGGCCGTTTGCGATTTTATGAGGCCAAGGCACAATGCAAGGGCGTTGGCATCGGTGCAGAAAACATTTCAATCATTCTGTATGGGAGGTGGAAATGTTGTTGTTACTGTTCGTGTTGGGACTGTTGTGATGACGTTGTGTTGGCTTCGTGTTACATTCTCATGTAACTTAATTCTTGCATTAAAATGCATTCATTAACTGTTACTGTTTTGTCTTGTTGCATTTCCCCTCATGTATCCTCTCCATTGCAACCACCACAGAAACCACAAACAACTCGCGTATACATTCCCTAGAGACTCTCCTAGAGGAAAAGTGAGTGAAAAGCGCTGGAAAATATTTTTGGTATAGTTGACCTACCGCAAAGAAACAAAGGGAAACCATAAACTGAACTTTTTCCCTACCACACACACAGACACACTGAAAACTTTCTCAAAACGTTCGTCAACATTGTAATAGAGTACATAGAGGGAAACCCCTGCTGCCCTTGGCCATGGGTTGCATACCAATTTCGGGATGATACTCATGACATGAATCGGGGGAAGTATACTATCCCCTGGGGGGAAATACATTATCCCCTGGGGGGAAATACATTATCCCCTGGGGGGAAATATACTATCCCCTGGGGGAGATATATAATCTCTGGGTATCCATGAAGTTTTTAAGCGTCATCATAATCAGTCTTTGAACAGCTAATACATCCGTTTCTAACACCACAAATATATATACTCTTAATATAATATAATATAATATAATTTATATAATATATACTCTCAAAAAATTGTATACCGTTATCCCTTCCACTTCATAGATCAAATTACTCCTTGCAGGAACCGTTTAGAGTCTTATGGTAGGATTATAATTCCCTTCACCATTCCCTCTCTATATTTACATTTAATTAATTTCCTCTTCCTAAACGATTAAGCATACCTCTATCGTAATTAGTACTAGTCTAACATTTAACATTCCTGCATGTATGCGACCGCGTCATGCAGCAGCGCCCCTCGATCGTGTATTTTGTGTCGTTTCTATTGAAACAATCCACTTACAACTGCTCTTATATTTTTTTTGGTTTTTTAGATTTCTTGCTGGAAAGAGTCAGTAAAATTTTCTTATATACCGCTTATCTTAAAGCTAGATAGTCCCCAAGATACTCCTGATGGAGCAAACCTGCCGAAACAACATTCTATTGAATCTGGTCTTTCATTTTGGATGTCATCATATTGCGGAGTACTTGGTAAAAGAACAGTGGCCCCATTAATTGCGCAATACGATGATCAATGAGATCAATTTTAGTTTGATTTTTGTGTGTTCCATTGCGAGATTCGAATTCTCAAAAGTGGAGGCAGAAGAAATAAATTGTATTTATGGGTTTTTTTGTCTAGATGCGTTTTTTCGGCTTCAGTGGGTTTTATGTTTTACGGCGGAAGCACACACTACTCAAAAGTCACAAGAATCGACTTCAGTTCATTGAAGCCAATTTTTGAGAGCCGTTTACGGAAGCTACCGCGGGTGGTGGGTTCCGCCACGAATTTCGTTACGCTCCATTGGGCACATCCATCTCCGAGACCCACATATGCCCATGCCCATGCCCAAGCTCTATCTTCTATGCTCTTCTTTGGTCTGTTCTTTTTTTGGCTTCTTTGGGGAGACAATTTAAAACAAAATTGTTAATTGCCCTGGCTGATTGCCGCTGGGGGATGGAATGGGTTGAGCCAAACTCTGAACTAACGTCTGTTCTCTTCATTTCCACTTTTCAGATGAAGTCGAACACGTACGAGCTGCATAACTACGCCGACCTAAACATGGACAGCAGTCCCGCGAAAAAGGATTCGCGCAAGCGGAAGGCGGCCAGTGCCCGTGGTGAGAAATATTCCCTGCGCCAGAAGCGACAGAAGCGATGTGCGTCCGATGAAGCGGAGCAGGAGCTGCCAGACCTCGACCTCGAGCTGGAGAGCCTTGAACCAGCAGCGAGCAGGCCAAAGAAGAACTCCTCCACCAACAAGGCCAAGACGAAAGCACCGCCCCTGAGCAAGTATCGCCGGAAGACGGCCAATGCTCGCGAGCGGACACGGATGCGGGAGATCAACACGGCTTTCGAGACGCTGCGGCACAGTGTACCGCAGGCCATAACCGGGGAGGTTGCGGCTAATGCCAGTGAGAAGCTGACCAAGATCACCACCCTGCGCCTGGCCATGAAGTACATAAAGATGCTGAGCGACGCCATCGAGGATCCCAGCTACGAGAGCGAGTTCATTGGCGAGTGTCTGGAAGAGAGCGCCAATCGTGAGGCCCTGGTCACCGTGGATTCCGAGCCAGAGCTGGAAGTGGAGATGCCAGTACCAGCGGCTAAGAAACCAGCCAAGTCCAAGGCGGGATCTGCTGGCAGCAAAAAGTCCACGGCCGCCAGCAAACGCCAGACACAGAAGCAGGCCAAGGAAAAACATCCCACGCCCACACAGACGATGACAACGACTCCGATGTGTGCTTCCGGCAGTTCGGGGGAGTCCTGCTATGCCGCCTCGTCGATAGGCTCGCCGGGATCCAGTGCCGGCGCTGCCTGCTCGCCCAGCTCTGCCTACGCCTCACTCTCGTCCTCCGCCTCCAACATCAGCCACCGCAGCAGCAGTCACCGCAGTAACAGCAGTCCCGGACTGGAGCCCGATGGGAACCTAATGGGTCTGCAGGGACTCAGCGACCTGGACACCCTGCTCCTGGAGTCTGATGGTGAGTCCCTGCACTGTCTGAGTCCCAGCTATGAGAGTCTTCTGACCAACGGAGAGTCCATTCTTCCGTGTCGTGGTGACATGCCCATGCCCGGCTGCCTGGATAAGCCGGATGTGGAGCTCAGCCTACGTCTGCTGGATGCAGATCGCTCCACGGACTCATTCGACTTTGCCAGCGACCAACAGCCGTCGGCCTGCATCAGTTCCCTGGCCACGCTGGACGGCTGCTATCCCTTCGGGGATTTGTTGCCCGGCGACTTCTCCGACATGTTTCTCACGTGACGCGGCCCGGATCCGTGTTAAGTGCCGCCTCGTACTGTCACTCGGTGGGGCCCCTGTTACACTCTCGTTTTAAGCCTAAACCTAGTTGTTAAAGTGATTTCACTGTTAGCCATTTAGCCATGCGATCATTCGGCGCGGAATTCATTGTGTCATAGAAAAGCAGCCTTAAGTTAAACACAACAAGAACAGCTAGATAGAAAGATCTGCACATTTTGTATGCCCTATAGATAGGGAGAACAGACAGGCCCACACATCTATCTATACATGACCGCACCATACCATACCATACCATACCATACCACACCGATCGTTCGACCACTAAATTTAATGAACCAAGAAGCATTTCTCTCTTTGTGAAGCATTTCTCGTTATCGTGTATGTAAATAAAGCACCAAGTGTTGTCCCATGACAAAAGCTCAACGAAATCAATTGCCTTTTATTATGATTGGATTGGATTTTTCCTAGATATATCTATATAATAACTATATAAGATCGAAACCGTTAAAGTTGCAGGTAATTTCAGAGAGACTACACATGAGATTATGATCCAAAATCTCTCAACACAATACTGTGTATGTTGTTGTTGGATTCTGGGGACCTCCTCTGCCTGGAACATACGAAACCGAGTACGCAGCGGAGCCGAGGTCCAAGGCGAAGGATCGCCCGAAAGAGAAAGGGAATACCAGTAACCCGTGCGCCCATATGAAATGGAATTTGTTCCTGATGTTTCTGCTATTATCTTCCCATTTACTAAAATGAATCCACCATCGCAAAATTTTTGTATGCATAATTTAATTTCCTGTCAGCAATTAAATGCTGTCGACAATAAAACACACAGCGAGTCCAACAGCAAATATTTGTTATGTTCCATTGAATACAATAAACGGTAAAATTCACACAGCAATTAAGTATAAACAATTATTAATGAAATCAATTTAGCTTAGAAATCCAATTCAAATATCTTTGATTCGCCACGGTACTTATCGGCGTGGGCCAAGCCGGCCATGATGGCGGCCCCCACTCCGCAGCTGTCCTGGTTGACGACGTATTCGAATTTGTAGCGGGGGTCGGTGAGTTGGAGAGTGTACTTGTTGATCACCGTTTGGAATGTGGGGTTGAGGCGGTAGATGCCGCCGTCAACGGAAATGGAGATTTGGGCGATCTTCATGCGGTTGATCAGACAGGCGACGCCCGAGGAGAGCATCATGGCCGCACGGCTGAGGATAATGTTGCTGATGTAGCGCACGGCGGCCAGGTCGCGCTCCTTGCAGTGGCGAATGCGGTATTTCTCCATTACCTCCTGGGCTTTAGTGTAGACGCCAGGCGGATCCGAGTCGAGATCGAAGACTGAGGACATATCCATCCTCCACTGGTTGCCGATTAAATCGAGCGTCTGCCCTTCGAAGATGGTCCCATTCCGCATCAGACGCACTATGACCATACGAACAAGCTCGCTTATGAAGAGGGCACCGCTGAACTTTTCGTAGATGCGATGGCCGGGATTCGTGGATGACTCGTCCAGTGTCTTGTCGAATTCGTTTCGTACAAAGTCGAGCTGACCGCCATCCCCAAAGTGGGCCCAGTCAGTGTTGACGATCATTATGCTCTTGTTATTAGTGCCCGTGTACATGTGGCAGTTATCGACGTCCTCCACGTAGCAGGAGTTGGTGATGTTGCCCATGTTTAGGCCGATCCGCGTATCCGGCTGCGTCCAGCAGAGCGCCAGGAGGGATCCTATGGCCACATTGATAATGCCCAAGATGTTGACCATTATCTCGGGGAACTTGGCCAAGGCGTCGCGCAACAGCTGGACCACATCCTTGCCGATGGCTCCCGTGGCCCCGAACTCCTTCGTCCAAGCGATCAATATTCCCACGTCCAGGGCCAGCTTATTCAGCGAAAAGGCAAAGGCAATGCCCATCGGTAGGTTCTCCTTGTCGACCTTCTTGTCCTTCACGAAAGTCGCTATGTTGGACGCCAGAAAGTTGAAAAGTTCTGTGCCCTTGGCGGCAGCTATAGAGTGTGGTATGATCACGCACTTGGAGCTCATGTACACGTCCTTCTCGCTGCTGAATCTCACCAGCATGATCCGGCAGTTGGTGGGCATCATCTCCAAGGCCAGGAAGCGGCCACGCTCACGTCCCGATGGCAGGTCCTGCACGTAGCTCAAGTAGCACGGCACAGAGGAGCGATCGTGGCCCTCCTTGCTCAACCCGGCCGTCATCTCGCGATCCATGGTGTCCCTTACCTTTACCAGATCATTCTCGCTGGGCACAAACATCTGGCATAGCTTGTAAACCTCTGGAAAGTCCACCTCTGGCTTAAATATAGGGCCGGCCATTTTAATAGGGTTTTGAATCGAGCTAAGTATTTTGAGAGTTACCCAAATGGAATGGGTTTTGTAACTATATAGCAATAAAAGGAAAGGAGTACTTTGTTCTCTTCTTTTTTAAAGGTTAAATATTTTTTCTCGATCTAAACTTCGACTCCACAGATATATACGTACTTTGCTTACTACGTGTGCGAGGGGTACTGGTACTTAAATTCGCTATTGGGCTTTTTGTACTCGGTTTCGTAAGTTCGAAGCAGAGTCGGTCCTCAGAATCTATCGAAAATGAGCAAAGTCTCTGCTCTGCCACCGTGGTATCACGAAAAACCCCGCCACGAAACAGCTTGCCTCAAGCAACATCTTGGTAAATGTCTAGCTTTTGATAACAGTCATTTTTCAGACCAATTAGAGGCCATTGAAGAATGCATTATATATTTGCAGAAGCTTTAGAACCACAGGTGCTACAAAGCTATCTCAACTTGACTCTTCCTAACATTAAATATCACCGATCCATCGGCCCAAAAGACCCGCGCTCATCTATAGAGGAGACTGATTAACGAAGAGTAAAAATATGATACTTGGCGATGAGCTTATTCAAGATAGCTTCTGAATGGTCTTGCCTTACCTTCCCATTCGAGTATCACTTAACAGAAATAAGAATAGTGCAACGGGCAATGTTCATTTTCGCTCATCAAGTAAACCAATGAAACCTCAAAATCAACCAGCAATCATCCCAGCAATCCTCTATCTAAAATCAGAATTCCACTTATTTTTACTTCCACACTTTCGAAATTACTCGCAGGACGAGACAGTTGTAAAATTTCCCCTTTTGCTCCATTTGGCATTTGAACTAAATTTTTAGTTAATTTTGAAGTATTTTTTCTTGGGCGGTAAAATGTCGGTGGTACCCACAACCATTGCCCCAGAGGTGGAGGCCGCGGTGGCGGGCTTCATGCTGACCCAGGCCCAGATGACCGAGGTGGTCGAACGCATGACCAAGGAGATCAAGATGGGCCTGGCCAGGGACACCCATCCGCGGGCGGTCATCAAGTGCTTCGTCAGCTACGTGCAAGACCTGCCTACGGGAAAGGAGCGCGGCAAGTACCTGGCTCTCGATCTGGGCGGCTCCAACTTCCGTGTGCTCCTGGTCGACCTGAAGAGTAACACGGATATCGACATTGTCTCGAAGAGCTTTGTAATTGCAAGTAGCATGCTATCGGGCCCCGGCAAGGATCTGTTCGACTTCATTGCCAACTGCCTGGCCGATTTCTGCAAGGAGCAACGCCTCCAGGGGGAAGCCATTCCCCTAGGCTTCACCTTCTCGTTCCCCCTGCAGCAACAGGGCCTGACCAAGGGCATCCTGGTCACCTGGACCAAGGGCTTTAGCTGTGAGGGAGTTGTGGGCAAGAATGTGGTTGCCCTGCTTCAAGAGGCCATTGAGCGGCGTGGTGACCTCAAGATCAACATAGTAGCTATCCTCAACGACACCGTCGGCACCCTCATGTCCTGTGCCTTCACGTCACGCAACTGCCGCATAGGCCTCATCGTCGGCACCGGCTCCAATGCCTGCTACGTTGAAAAGACAGTGAATGCGGAATGCTTCGAGAACTACCAGACCAGTCCCAAGCCGCACATGATCATCAACGCTGAGTGGGGAGCCTTCGGGGACAACGGCGTGCTGGATTTTGTCCGCACCCCCTACGACCGCATTGTGGACAAGGTGACGCCCAATCCCGGCAAGCAGACCTTCGAGAAGTGCATCTCTGGCATGTACATGGGCGAGCTGGTGCGTCTGGTACTGGTGGACCTCATGGCTAAGGGGCTGATCTTTGCCGGCGAAAGGTCTGAGAAAATTCAGACGCAATGGAATTTCCAAACCAGCTACCTCTCAGACATTGAGAGCGATAGCCCGGGCGACTTTCGTAACTGCAGCAAGGTCATCAGTCAGCTGGGACTCGTCGGCAACCACGTGAGGGACAAGCTACATTTGCGGTACATCTGCGAGGCGGTCTCTTCGCGCTCAGCAAAGCTCTGCTCCTGCGGCCTGGTCACCCTTATCAATAAGATGAACATCAACGACGTGTCCGTGGGCATTGATGGGAGTGTGTATCGCTTTCATCCCCGGTATCACGATTTGTTGATGTTCCACATGACCAAGTTGTTGAGGCCTGGCATCAAATTTGAGCTCCTGGAGTCCGACGACGGGTCAGGCAAGGGTGCGGCCTTGATTGCAGCCACCGCTGTGCAGAACCAAGTCTCCAAGTAGTCAATCAAAATTGGGCCGTATAATGAATAGTAAAAATGATATTGTACTAAAAATTCACAGTAAGGAAAGAGTAACAAATTGAGCGATATATTAAGTCATACAATTTACATTAAATATAGAATCTTATCATTAAACTCGCCACCTGTGCGCATTTTTGTTGCAACACGTGCTCATAAATGTGTCGCGCCATCTAGCGTTCTTTAGTTAGAATCGGTTTGAGTTATCGAATTCAAAATGTGCTACTATCGAAACCAGCCGACTAGTTCCAGTAGCCGCTGAGAGACAGAGATAATATTACATGGATAATGCATGTATTGAGAGCGAGATAGCAGCAAATCTAGCTAAGTCTAGTAGACAATGGATTCACTGGTCGGATAAAATTATGTGGGCATGGCTAAATGTTCTATATAGCTAATAATATTAGACGGAACATCAAAATTTAGCAATATGGTTTCACATCCTTGACGAAGAACGATTAACCTATTATAAGCCAACTAGGTTTTTCAATTTTCCACCGAAAATAATCAAAATTTAACCATTTCATATATAGCTATATTGTAAGAAAAGCAGTCAAGGTATATAACGTCAGAACGAATATATGTAACTATAACAGTATTAAAATTAATGTCGCACCCAGTGTTAGAAAAGCAGTCAAGGTATATAACGTCAGAGCGAATATATGTAACTATAACAGTATTAAAATTAATGTCGCAGCCAGTGTAAGAAAAGCAGTCAAGGTATATAACGTCAGAACGAATATATGTAACTATAACAGTATTAAAATTAATGTCGCAGCCAGTGTAAGAAAAGCAGTCAAGGTATATAACGTCAGAACGAATATATGTAACTATAACAGTATTAAAATTAGTGTCGCAGCCAGTGTAAGAAAATCAGTTAAGGTATATAACGTCAGAGCGAATATATGTAACTATAAAAATATTAAAATTAATTTCGCCCCCAGTGTTAGAAAAGCAGTCAAGGTATATAACGTCAGAACGAATATATGTAACTATAACAGTATTAAAATTAATGTCGCAGCCAGTGTAAGAAAAGCAGTCAAGGTATATAACGTCAGAACGAATATATGTAACTATAACAGTATTAAAATTAATGTCGCACCCAGTGTTAGAAAAGCAGTCAAGGTATATAACGTCAGAACGAATATATGTAACTATAACAGTATTAAAATTAATGTCGCACCCAGTGTTAGAAAAGCAGTCAAGGTATATAACGTCAGAGCGAATATATGTAACTATAACAGTATTAAAATTAGTGTCGCAGCCAGTGTAAGAAAATCAGTTAAGGTATATAACGTCAGAGCGAATATATGTAACTATAAAAATATTAAAATTAATTTCGCCCCCAGTGTTAGAAAAGCAGTCAAGGTATATAACGTCAGAACGAATATATGTAACTATAACAGTATTAAAATTAGTGTCGCAGCCAGTGTAAGAAAGGCAGTCAAGGTATATAACGTCAGAACGAATATATGTAACTATAACAATATTAAAATTAATTTCGCCCCCAGTGATGGCTAGATAAGTGCCGGAGCCGGATAAGACACTGCGCGGTTGCAACGAGGAAGCATGTGGCAAAGATTGTATGTGAATTGCTGCACTATATCAATATCCAAGTTGCCCGTATTCTCAAATAGGTTGTAACGCGTCCGCTTTGCCGTCCCCTGAATCGACTGATGGCTGACCATGAAGAGCTGGATCTCATTGGAATGGACAATGGTGCGATCGACGACGGTTCCCGGAACAACATTGTTGAACTTATTTTATTGCGATGGAGCTCCGTTCGGAAAGAAGCGCGGATGATGCCGCTTAACTACAATGACTCAGCAAATCTTGGGTTTAATATGCATCTGAAAGGAAGCGAAGGTAAATTAACGATAGAAAATTACGAAGTTTCTGGATGCAATAAATTTGCAAATTTCCTTGAAGCAGGCCACAGAAATCCCCATCAACTCTTCATTCTTAATCTTGGGAAACTGTCCCTCGCTGCCACCATCACGATAATAGCTAATGTGCTCGGCATAGGATATGCGGAACTGATGATAGACACGCAAGTGCTATCGTTTGGTGTTCGTTATTACACCAAATTTCGGGCGCTTTTTTGATGTCGTGAAGTAAAAGGCTGAGCTGAAGGATGGCATTCTCACACAATGCATCAAGCAAATAACAGTCGAGCGTAAATGTAACGCGCAGGTTATTGGTAACGTTCTACTTAAGGTCAATTCCAAACTAAACGGCACCAATCACAAGCTAAGGGATGACCTGCATTGTCTACTAAAGAACACCATGTTTTTGGGTTCCGATGTGACTCATAGTCGCCCGATCAGCAAGAGATCCCCAGTGTGGGTATATAACGTCAGAACGAATATATGTAACTATAAAAATATTAAAATTAATTTCGCCCCCAGTGATGGCTAGATAAGTGCCGGAGCCGGATAAGACACTGCGCGGTTGCAACGAGGAAGCATGTGGCAAAGATTGTATGTGAATTGCTGCACTATATCAATATCCAAGTTGCCCGTATTCTCAAATAGGTTGTAACGCGTCCGCTTTGCCGTCCCCTGAATCGACTGATGGTTGACCATGAAGAGCTGGATCTCATTGGAATGGACAATGGTGCGATCGACGACGGTTCCCGGAACAACATTGTTGAACTTATTTTATTGCGATGGAGCTCCGTTCGGAAAGAAGCGCGTATGATGCCGCTTAACTACAATGACGCAGCAAATCTTGGGTTTAATATGCATCTGAAAGGAAGCGAAGGTAAATTAACGATAGAAAATTACGAAGTTTCTGGATGCAATAAATTTGAAAATTTCCTTGAAGCAGGCGCAGAAATCCCCATCAACTCTTCATTCTTAATCTTGGGAAACTGTACATCGCTTCCACCATCAAGATAATAGATAATGTGCTCGGGATTGGATGTGCGGAACTGATGATAGACACGCAAGTGCTCAAGAGCTACCGACTTCATGTCCTCAATCTCCTCCAAGGCAGAGCGTTGCAAGCGATATTGCATGTTATATGAAGCCCCGAATGGATCATGGGAGGCGGCAACACCCACCACACTGGGGATCTCTCGCTGATCGGGCGAGTCACATCGGCACCCAAAAACATGGTCTTCTTTGGCAGACAGTGTAGGTCATCCCGTAGCTTGTGATTGGTGCCGTTCAGTTTTGCATTAACCTTAAGTAGAATGCTGCCAATAACCTGCGCGTTACATTTGCGCTCGACTGTGATCCGCTTAATGCATTGTGTGAGAATGCCATCCTTCAGCTCAGCCTTTTACTTCACGACATCAAAAAAGCGCCCGAAATTTGGTATAATAACGAACAGCAAATCAAATTAATTTCGAAAAAGGAGCATCCAGTTCACGTTCATCTTTGTAATTCCGTTTCTCGTCCTTGGTATCCAATGGTGTATGTGTATCCATGAAAATTCTAAGCAAAAAACCATTAAAAATAGATCTTATTGTTTTATTTTCTGACAAGCTTGTTGTTTGCCTAACACTACTGTTGACCGATGTAGTGAGGGTCCATCCACTTTCTCAACTCGCTCTCTCGGTTCTGAGAGAGACAAACGCTGCAGTCTTCTGACCGGAAAGAAAATTTGTTTGATAATATATAGAACGAAATAAATAATTTTAAGGAAATTAGAATATTTTGATTCATAACCATTTATCCAAAGTGGATAAGGATGGAAATGGAAACCCCTTTTCGATCAAATGGCGATACGCCCGGGGTCCAGCAGCATGGAGACAAATCGCATTCGAAATGTCATCGTGATTCCATTGAACTCTTTTCCCGCCGTTCTCAAGTTTCCTGATCTGCGATTTGGTGAAAATGGTATTAAGGGAATCAATAAGCGTCTGCGTTTTCCCAATTTGCTCAAGAAGCTTAGCTTTTTCCCTTTGCAAGTCAGCAACTTTCTTTTGCAAACATAAATTGTCTAATGCAAGCCCAAAACTTCTTCGCTGAAAATTAATCATATCAATAGCCATAAAATAGTAACCGAAATGTAAAAATACTCAGTTTGGGAGTTGAAGTCACAAACATTGTCCCCACAAGCTGATTTTAAGTGCTCTGTGAGAACTTTCTCACGTTGATTCTGCGGTACAGAAGTTGGCATCAGTCGTCTCCGCTTTGTTGCGTTTTCGGACGGATAGTAAAAAAAGTCCGAGTCCTTGAAATGTTTGCTACAAATTTTGCTCGAACTCGTAAATTGAACGCCACAGCTCCTTGACCACAGCTCCCTTCTGCTTTCATCTCTTGGTACTGAAACATTCTTTTCCGTAGTTCTCGAACGGCATAGCATACAATACTTTGTGGTCATGTTTAGACCTGTTAAGGAATCAAAGGAAATATATTAACACACACATATGACACAATTACACACACATTTAGCTACACAGTCTCTGTCGTCTATACCATACTTTTATGATTTGTTTTTAATTACTTCCTTTTCTTTATTAGAAAAAATTTGTTTATATTTCCTACCTGTCAGCTGTGACAATAACAAACGAAGTACGATTTTTTATATTCGATATGATATATGATACGATATTTTTACTGCGATACGCGGCAAGTACCTGGCTCTCGATCTGGGCGGCTCCAACTTCCGTGTGCTCCTGGTCGACCTGAAGAGTAACACGGATATCGACATTGTCTCGAAGAGCTTTGTAATTGCAAGTAGCATGCTATCGGGCCCCGGCAAGGATCTGTTCGACTTCATTGCCAACTGCCTGGCCGATTTCTGCAAGGAGCAACGCCTCCAGGGGGAAGCCATTCCCCTAGGCTTCACCTTCTCGTTCCCCCTGCAGCAACAGGGCCTGACCAAGGGCATCCTGGTCACCTGGACCAAGGGCTTTAGCTGTGAGGGAGTTGTGGGCAAGAATGTGGTTGCCCTGCTTCAAGAGGCCATTGAGCGGCGTGGTGACCTCAAGATCAACATAGTAGCTATCCTCAACGACACCGTCGGCACCCTCATGTCCTGTGCCTTCACGTCACGCAACTGCCGCATAGGCCTCATCGTCGGCACCGGCTCCAATGCCTGCTACGTTGAAAAGACAGTGAATGCGGAATGCTTCGAGAACTACCAGACCAGTCCCAAGCCGCACATGATCATCAACGCTGAGTGGGGAGCCTTCGGGGACAACGGCGTGCTGGATTTTGTCCGCACCCCCTACGACCGCATTGTGGACAAGGTGACGCCCAATCCCGGCAAGCAGACCTTCGAGAAGTGCATCTCTGGCATGTACATGGGCTAGCTGGTGCGTCTGGTACTGGTGGACCTCATGGCTAAGGGGCTGATCTTTGCCGGCGAAAGGTCTGAGAAAATTCAGACGCAATGGAATTTCCAAACCAGCTACCTCTCAGACATTGAGAGCGATAGCCCGGGCGACTTTCGTAACTGCAGCAAGGTCATCAGTCAGCTGGGACTCGTCGGCAACCACGTGAGGGACAAGCTACATTTGCGGTACATCTGCGAGGCGGTCTCTTCGCGCTCAGCAAAGCTCTGCTCCTGCGGCCTGGTCACCCTTATCAATAAGATGAACATCAACGACGTGTCCGTGGGCATTGATGGGAGTGTGTATCGCTTTCATCCCCGGTATCACGATTTGTTGATGTTCCACATGACCAAGTTGTTGAGGCCTGGCATCAAATTTGAGCTCCTGGAGTCCGACGACGGGTCAGGCAAGGGTGCGGCCTTGATTGCAGCCACCGCTGTGCAGAACCAAGTCTCCAAGTAGTCAATCAAAATTGGGCCGTATAATGAATAGTAAAAATGATATTGTACTAAAAATTCACAGTAAGGAAAGAGTAACAAATTGAGCGATATATTAAGTCATACAATTTACATTAAATATAGAATCTTATCATTAAACTCGCCACCTGTGCGCATTTTTGTTGCAACACGTGCTCATAAATGTGTCGCGCCATCTAGCGTTCTTTAGTTAGAATCGGTTTGAGTTATCGAATTCAAAATGTGCTACTATCGAAACCAGCCGACTAGTTCCAGTAGCCGCTGAGAGACAGAGATAATATTACATAGATAATGCATGTATTGAGAGCGAGATAGCAGCAAATCTAGCTAAGTCTAGTAGACAATGGATTCACTGGTCGGATAAAATTATGTGGGCATGGCTAAATGTTCTATATAGCTAATAATATTAGACGGAACATCAAAATTTTGCAATATGGTTTCACATCCTTGACGAAGAACGATTAACCTATTATAAGCCAACTAGGTTTTTCAATTTTCCACCGAAAATAATCAAAATTTAACCATTTCATATATAGCTATATTGTAAGAAAAGCAGTCAAGGTATATAACGTCAGAACGAATATATGTAACTATAACAGTATTAAAATTAATGTCGCACCCAGTGTTAGAAAAGCAGTCAAGGTATATAACGTCAGAACGAATATATGTAACTATAACAGTATTAAAATTAGTGTCGCAGCCAGTGTAAGAAAATCAGTTAAGGTATATAACGTCAGAGCGAATATATGTAACTATAAAAATATTAAAATTAATTTCGCCCCCAGTGTTAGAAAAGCAGTCAAGGTATATAACGTCAGAACGAATATATGTAACTATAACAGTATTAAAATTAGTGTCGCAGCCAGTGTAAGAAAATCAGTTAAGGTATATAACGTCAGAGCGAATATATGTAACTATAAAAATATTAAAATTAATTTCGCCCCCAGTGTTAGAAAAGCAGTCAAGGTATATAACGTCAGAACGAATATATGTAACTATAACAGTATTAAAATTAATGTCGCACCCAGTGTTAGAAAAGCAGTCAAGGTATATAACGTCAGAACGAATATATGTAACTATAACAGTATTAAAATTAGTGTCGCAGCCAGTGTAAGAAAATCAGTTAAGGTATATAACGTCAGAGCGAATATATGTAACTATAAAAATATTAAAATTAATTTCGCCCCCAGTGTTAGAAAAGCAGTCAAGGTATATAACGTCAGAATGAATATATGTAACTATAACAGTATTAAAATTAGTGTCGCAGCCAGTGTAAGAAAATCAGTTAAGGTATATAACGTCAGAGCGAATATATGTAACTATAAAAATATTAAAATTAATTTCGCCCCCAGTGTTAGAAAAGCAGTCAAGGTATATAACGTCAGAACGAATATATGTAACTATAACAGTATTAAAATTAATGTCGCAGCCAGTGTAAGAAAAGCAGTCAAGGTATATAACGTCAGAACGAATATATGTAACTATAACAGTATTAAAATTAATGTCGCACCCAGTGTTAGAAAAGCAGTCAAGGTATATAACGTCAGAACTAATATATGTAACTATAACAGTATTAAAATTAATGTCGCACCCAGTGTTAGAAAAGCAGTCAAGGTATATAACGTCAGAATGAATATATGTAACTATAACAGTATTAAAATTAGTGTCGCAGCCAGTGTAAGAAAATCAGTTAAGGTATATAACGTCAGAGCGAATATATGTAACTATAAAAATATTAAAATTAATTTCGCCCCCAGTGTTAGAAAAGCAGTCAAGGTATATAACGTCAGAACGAATATATGTAACTATAACAGTATTAAAATTAATGTCGCAGCCAGTGTAAGAAAAGCAGTCAAGGTATATAACGTCAGAACGAATATATGTAACTATAACAGTATTAAAATTAATGTCGCACCCAGTGTTAGAAAAGCAGTCAAGGTATATAACGTCAGAACTAATATATGTAACTATAACAGTATTAAAATTAATGTCGCACCCAGTGTTAGAAAAGCAGTCAAGGTATATAACGTCAGAACGAATATATGTAACTATAACAGTATTAAAATTAGTGTCGCAGCCAGTGTAAGAAAATCAGTTAAGGTATATAACGTTAGAGCGAATATATGTAACTATAAAAATATTAAAATTAATTTCGCCCCCAGTGTTAGAAAAGCAGTCAAGGTATATAACGTCAGAACGAATATATGTAACTATAACAGTATTAAAATTAATGTCGCACCCAGTGTTAGAAAAGCAGTCAAGGTATATAACGTCAGAACGAATATATGTAACTATAACAGTATTAAAATTAGTGTCGCAGCCAGTGTAAGAAAATCAGTTAAGGTATATAACGTCAGAGCGAATATATGTAACTATAAAAATATTAAAATTAATTTCGCCCCCAGTGTTAGAAAAGCAGTCAAGGTATATAACGTCAGAACGAATATATGTAACTATAACAGTATTAAAATTAGTGTCGCAGCCAGTGTAAGAAAGGCAGTCAAGGTATATAACGTCAGAACGAATATATGTAACTATAACAGTATCAAAATTAGTGTCGCCAGTGTCGCAGCCAGTGTAAGAAAAGCAGTCAGAACAAATATATGTAACTATAACAATATTAAAATTAATTTCGCCCCCAGTGATGGCTAGATAAGTGCCGGAGCCGGATAAGACACTGCGCGGTTGCAACGAGGAAGCATGTGGCAAAGATTGTATGTGAATTGCTGCACTATATCAATATCCAAGTTGACCGTATTCTCAAATAGGTTGTAACGCGTCCGCTTTGCCGTCCCCTGAATCGACTGATGGCTGACCATGAAGAGCTGGATCTCATTGGAATGGACAATGGTGCGATCGACGACGGTTCCCGGAACAACATTGTTGAACTTATTTTATTTCGATGGAGCTCCGTTCGGAAAGAAGCGCGGATGATGCCGCTTAACTACAATGACTCAGCAAATCTTGGGTTTAATATGCATCTGAAAGGAAGCGAAGGTAAATTAACGATAGAAAATTACGAAGTTTCTGGATGCAATAAATTTGCAAATTTCCTTGAAGCAGGCCACAGAAATCCCCATCAACTCTTCATTCTTAATCTTGGGAAACTGTCCCTCGCTGCCACCATCACGATAATAGCTAATGTGCTCGGCATAGGATATGCGGAACTGATGATAGACACGCAAGTGCTATCGTTTGGTGTTCGTTATTACACCAAATTTCGGGCGCTTTTTTGATGTCGTGAAGTAAAAGGCTGAGCTGAAGGATGGCATTCTCACACAATGCATCAAGCAAATAACAGTCGAGCGTAAATGTAACGCGCAGGTTATTGGTAACGTTCTACTTAAGGTCAATTCCAAACTAAACGGCACCAATCACAAGCTAAGGGATGACCTGCATTGTCTACTAAAGAACACCATGTTTTTGGGTTCCGATGTGACTCATAGTCGCCCGATCAGCAAGAGATCCCCAGTGTGGGTATATAACGTCAGAACGAATATATGTAACTATAAAAATATTAAAATTAATTTCGCCCCCAGTGATGGCTAGATAAGTGCCGGAGCCGGATAAGACACTGCGCGGTTGCAACGAGGAAGCATGTGGCAAAGATTGTATGTGAATTGCTGCACTATATCAATATCCAAGTTGCCCGTATTCTCAAATAGGTTGTAACGCGTCCGCTTTGCCGTCCCCTGAATCGACTGATGGTTGACCATGAAGAGCTGGATCTCATTGGAATGGACAATGGTGCGATCGACGACGGTTCCCGGAACAACATTGTTGAACTTATTTTATTGCGATGGAGCTCCGTTCGGAAAGAAGCGCGTATGATGCCGCTTAACTACAATGACGCAGCAAATCTTGGGTTTAATATGCATCTGAAAGGAAGCGAAGGTAAATTAACGATAGAAAATTACGAAGTTTCTGGATGCAATAAATTTGAAAATTTCCTTGAAGCAGGCGCAGAAATCCCCATCAACTCTTCATTCTTAATCTTGGGAAACTGTACATCGCTTCCACCATCAAGATAATAGATAATGTGCTCGGGATTGGATGTGCGGAACTGATGATAGACACGCAAGTGCTCAAGAGCTACCGACTTCATGTCCTCAATCTCCTCCAAGGCAGAGCGTTGCAAGCGATATTGCATGTTATATGAAGCCCCGAATGGATCATGGGAGGCGGCAACACCCACCACACTGGGGATCTCTCGCTGATCGGGCGAGTCACATCGGCACCCAAAAACATGGTCTTCTTTGGCAGACAGTGTAGGTCATCCCGTAGCTTGTGATTGGTGCCGTTCAGTTTTGCATTAACCTTAAGTAGAATGCTGCCAATAACCTGCGCGTTACATTTGCGCTCGACTGTGATCCGCTTAATGCATTGTGTGAGAATGCCATCCTTCAGCTCAGCCTTTTACTTCACGACATCAAAAAAGCGCCCGAAATTTGGTATAATAACGAACAGCAAATCAAATTAATTTCGAAAAAGGAGCATCCAGTTCACGTTCATCTTTGTAATTCCGTTTCTCGTCCTTGGTATCCAATGGTGTATGTGTATCCATGAAAATTCTAAGCAAAAAACCATTAAAAATAGATCTTATTGTTTTATTTTCTGACAAGCTTGTTGTTTGCCTAACACTACTGTTGACCGATGTAGTGAGGGTCCATCCACTTTCTCAACTCGCTCTCTCGGTTCTGAGAGAGACAAACGCTGCAGTCTTCTGACCGGAAAGAAAATTTGTTTGATAATATATAGAACGAAATAAATAATTTTAAGGAAATTAGAATATTTTGATTCATAACCATTTATCCAAAGTGGATAAGGATGGAAATGGAAACCCCTTTTCGATCAAATGGCGATACGCCCGGGGTCCAGCAGCATGGAGACAAATCGCATTCGAAATGTCATCGTGATTCCATTGAACTCTTTTCCCGCCGTTCTCAAGTTTCCTGATCTGCGATTTGGTGAAAATGGTATTAAGGGAATCAATAAGCGTCTGCGTTTTCCCAATTTGCTCAAGAAGCTTAGCTTTTTCCCTTTGCAAGTCAGCAACTTTCTTTTGCAAACATAAATTGTCTAATGCAAGCCCAGAATCCAAAACTTCTTCGCTGAAAATTAATCATATCAATAGCCATAAAATAGTAACCGAAAAGTAAAAATACTCAGTTTGGGAGTTGAAGTCACAAACATTGTCCCCACAAGCTGATTTTAAGTGCTCTGTGAGAACTTTCTCACGTTGATTCTGCGGTACAGCAGTTGGCATCAGTCGTCTCCGCTTTGTTGCGTTTTCGGACGGATAGTAAAAAAAGTCCGAGTCCTTGAAATGTTTGCTACAAATTTTGCTCGAACTCGTAAATTGAACGCCACAGCTCCTTGACCACAGCTCCCTTCTGCTTTCATCTCTTGGTACTGAAACATTCTTTTCCGTAGTTCTCGAACGGCATAGCATACAATACTTTGTGGTCATGTTTAGACCTGTTAAGGAATCAAAGGAAATATATTAACACACACATATGACACAATTACACACACATTTAGCTACACAGTCTCTGTCGTCTATACCATACTTTTATGATTTGTTTTTAATTACTTCCTTTTCTTTATTAGAAAAAATTTGTTTATATTTCCTACCTGTCAGCTGTGACAATAACAAACGAAGTACGATTTTTTATATTCGATATGATATATGATACGATATTTTTACTGCGATATTTTCTCGACGACTATATCACAAATCGATATTTTTAGAAAACATCGACCACCATGTATCGTTTATTCCCGCACGAATTAAACATGGATAAGATAAAATAACTTGTATAATAAATTCGAACAAAACTCCTGTAGTGAAATCTTTGCGATAAAATTGTGAAGACAAGTAGAAATACATTAAACTTCGGTGTACATATCAGGACTAGACAATGGAGAGCTACTCAGGATTGTAACCTGGATTCACAGCTGACTCTTAAATATTTAACAACCCCCGAAAGCTCAGCAGCTTCAAAATTATTTGTTGAAAACAAAAAATTTAAAAAAAAAACAGGTCTTTAAACTAAAAACATCTTTCTGGAATTTTTTCCGATATATTGATTTTTTATAATTCATATATTCGATATGGCGATATTAAAATTAAGAAAATTTGATATATCGAAATACGATATGATTTCAAAAATTAACAAACAATTAAATACTTTCTGAGAGCCTATAGAGTGTGTTGAAAATTGAATGATCCTCATCACAGCGGACGACGGCAGCTTATTTTAATTGGTTGCGGGTAATTCACCTATAAAAATATTATTGAAAAAACATATATATCGATATATAAATCGGTCAGCTGTTTGTTAGTTTGGTAGAAAAGAAAAATAAGCACTTTTCCAACAAATTTTCCCAATGGGCGACTCCAACAAAGAAGATATTCTGCGCCTGCCGAACGGCGAAGCTCTGACCGGAGATGAGGTTAAGTCGCCGTTTTTGATTGGCGTGGCTGGAGGCACGGCCAGCGGCAAGTCTACCGTGTGCAAGAAGATCATGGAGCAACTTGGGCAGGCCGAAATGGACCATACACAGCGCCAGGTGGTGGCTATCAGCCAGGACAGCTTCTATCGCGAGCTGACAGCCGCCGAGAAGGCCAAGGCACAGAAGGGCCTGTTCAACTTTGACCATCCGGACGCCTTCAACGAAGAGCTGATGTTCGATACACTTCAGGGCATCCTCAAGGGTCACAAGGTGAAGATACCCGGCTATGACTACCGCACCAATTCGCTGTGAGTGCCACCTGCTGCTAGTAAATGTTTTTTGTGTGTGTAAATTATGTTCAATCTCTTTTCAGGGACTTTGAGAACATGCTCGTTATTTATCCGGCGGATGTGGTGCTCTTTGAGGGCATACTGGTGTTCTACTTTCCCAAGATTCGGGACCTCTTCCACATGAAACTGTTCGTGGACACCGACTCTGACACTAGACTGGCACGACGCGGTAAGCGTGACCATGTCTACTGTAGCATCCAGATGTCATAACCCTTTTCTTTTTCCTTGGCAGTGCCACGTGATATCAATGAGCGCGGCAGGGACCTGGACGCTGTGCTCACCCAGTACATGACCTTTGTGAAGCCCGCCTTCGAGGAGTTCTGCTCGCCCGTAAGCGTATCTAGCCCCATTTTCAGTGACCATTTGACAGTTTTTTCCGCCCCCTTTTTTAGACGAAAAAGTTTGCTGACGTTATAATACCGCGCGGTGCCGACAACACAGGTGAGATCCACACCCAGTCCCACAGAGACACATCTGTTTTCTTTCCACATACCCGTACATTATATATTTGTGTATATATAACACATACACACACTCACACGTCTAGCGTTTGTAGTGATTCGTTGAGTTTTTTGTTATATAAATAACAATAGTTATAAACAATTTTGTATGGTTTTTGGTTTCCTGTTCGAAATTAACAATCTTAAGTCTAAGTACAAACGAGACCCAATCAAATAGTCTGCTTGACATTTATATATTTATCTTTAAACATATATATTCCTATCAAAAAGTTCTCCTTTTCTTTGTTGCTCTCTCTTTTCTCTTTGTTTTCGTTTTTTTTTTGTTTTTTGGTTTGTCTACGTTTTTTTTTTTTTTGTTTGTTCCTGTTGTTTTTATTGTATTTCTTGCAGTTGCCATTGATCTCATTGTACACCATATCGGGGAGATACTCGCCAACACCAACAGCGCACAGCACAGCCACACAATCAGAGCTGCGCCGTCCAGCATGAAGAGAGATCACTAAAGTGCATAAGCCTAAGCCTAACCGACCACCACCCCCAGACCCCCAAGGCCCAGACTAAGGCGCGTCGTGTCCTCTAAGCTTATAAGCTAATTGCCAAAATTAAGAATCGCAGAAAAAAACCAAACTAACAGAGATAAACAAAGAACCTCCTTCTCTATACTTTAAGCGCGGGCATCGCTCCTCATTTCGCTCCTTATAATCCACTAATATAGCCCTAAGATTGAAAAGTTCTATATCTTTAGCTATAATCTTCTCTACTATTATTATTACAATATTGAAATATACATGGTAGTGTAAGCTCGTTTTTGTTCCCATAACGATAACATAACATAACCCAATGATTTCGTTTCCAGTCTAACTCTGGCCTAAGCTATAGAAGAATTGTTACAGTGATAATATTTCACAAAACTGGGTCTAACCTAAATGCTCCTTTGCTCTGACTTTTTGTAAGGTTCCGTTCCTAAGCACTCAACTCTCACCCGAAAATCACACACATGTCACAACTCTAACTATTGTACTATTCATATTTATATATACCCGATACTTGTAGATCAATAATTTGCTTGCAACTCGAATATATGGTTGGTCTGTTCTCAAATATATTCGTAACAATTTTGCAAATGTTCCATGATTCTTTCCCACGTATAACTAGAGGCTATCAAATACCAAGATATCGCATCAGGAACAGATTCCATTTCAATTTTCGTTCGATATTTGATAGGCCGCGCTGCCTACACGGCTTTGTATTGTCCTGGGTAGCTGAGTCGATCCCAGAATCCAACAAGAATATACACAGTATTTGACAAGTTGGCGACGGGCACATGTCGCACATGTGTCCCAAGAATCCAACGACTATACAATTTTGTTGTATTCCAGAATATTCCAGAAATGTTGAAGAAAACCCTTTTTAATAAAACAGAAACGTTGTTGCAGCCACGGTTGCCACACTTGTCGATTTTTCGCAAAAACTGGTGATTTTTTCCACTGGTTGGCTCAATTTAATTGAAATTTATAAATATCAGTTATCCATGTTGGCGATTTCGGATTGTTTCATAGAGAAACCGTGGTTGCAGCTATTAAATATCCTAGGAGTTATATTAACAATGAGGATATCTGTTCCTCTATTTTTAATTAGCGCTCACTAAATCAAGTAGAGGGTACACCACACAGTCGGAACACCCGACTATAGCGTTCACTAATTGTTGTTACTGATAAAGCTAGCCGTAAAAAATCTAAATATACATAAAAGACGAATTGGATAAATAAATGTTTTGTTTATTAAGTACAATGTACGGCTGCGAGATGGCAGGCATTATAATTAGTCGTATTGTAAAGCACACAACAAAAATCACACAAAACAAACTCACCCACCCAACTTTCGATCGGTAGAGTTTAACAGACAAATGCCGCCCAGCGTAACTTAGATGCGACTTAGGTAATACCACATACTAACTAGAGCTAGAGTAAGTCCTAGCCCCGTAGACTGCTTGGATATCGTGTTGGTTGAGTTTAGCTGCAAGTGGGCGGCCTGGGAGGTAAGTGGATTGTTTCCGTTGTTTGAGTTCCAAATGCCTAGAACGATCTAACAAACGAAACGTACCTTTGCTGGGACTTAGTCTTCTATAACGTTTGACTGCTTCTCCCTTTCAGTGGCCATCGATTTAATTGTGCAGCATATCAGAGACTTTCTCAACAATCGCTCACATCCTGGTTCCACCGGCAACATGGCGCTCTACATGAATCTGGACTTGAATGCCAGAAGCATTTTGGGCCCAGGTAAGGCCACCAGCCGCAAGCTCCAGTGCAAGGCTCGTCCACACTAACCACTGGATGGATCACAATAATGTTTACTACTAGCAAAAACACCTACTAATCACCATCTGCATGCGGCCAAGCAACCATCGGTCTGGACCTAGCATATAATGTATGTCACACTTTATGTTTCTCTGTAAAAGATACCATCGGCAGCAGCAGCAGCGGCAATGGCACCTACAATGCCATCAGAAGATTCTCCACGCTTTGCAAGGAGCTCAATATGCAGGGAAATTTCTTCTTCGACACGAACAAGAACCTGCCGCACCACTAAGAGGGGGCACATATCAGCAAACGGAGCGCAGTACAAGACACAGCACATCTAGGCGAATGTTAATGATCTAATCAATTATATATAGATATATTGTATTTTTCCAATATACCAAATCGGATCAGAGAGATCGTTTCAATCAGTTACACCTTGCACTTGTACATGGCATTGATCTTGCGCACATCTCCAGCGGAAAAACCCTTGCGCTGTCCCATCTGACTGGCCGCGGAACTGGGGCGCAGCGCCTTCAGCGTTGGCTGTCCGTTCCGGGTGAAGCTGGTGCTCGAATAGTGCATAACGCTGCCATAATCGTAGTCCACGCCAAATCCCGACTGGGTCCTGGAACTGGCCTTTTCGAAATTGGCCATCATGTCGGGCTTGATGTTGTCGCTCATCACCTTGACGTACGAGTCCCGCTCGTGGCGATTCTGCTCGTGAAAGAAGCCCAGGGCATGCATCAGTTCGTGTATGGGGGTGCCATAGGTCCGGAGGCAGTTGGGCGACTGCAGATTGACCTCCTGGCGTCCGCCCAGTCGCCCAATGCTGCTCCAGCAGCCCGACTTTCCGCTTCCAATTGATATATAGTCCTTTTCGGTGGAGCGCGGCTTGAAGCGCACGCAGGTCCTGGTGTGGTACTCCTTGAAGGCGTGGTTAATGTTGCCCAGCTCTTGGGTCGTAAAGGGACCCTTGATCTCGTAGGGCACGACGGCTCCCGGCCAGCGGAAGCTCTGCGCGAGGATGCCGTTGCGGGTGCCGTTGGAACGCGCCTCGCGATAACTTAGAGGAATGAGGATGTCGCCTTCGTAGTAGGTTCCCAGCTCCTCGGGATTCTGTTGGGACTGCTCATCGTGGGCATCGACCAGGACGCCCGTGGTCTCGCTGTCCGGATTACCGAATATAGCCTCCCCCAGATCCGACAAGTCTATCACGTCCTCAGAGTCCAGGTCCACCATCGGGAGGGCCCCGGCCACGCCTAGAAGGAGCAAAGATGTGAGAATTCGTTGCAACTTTGCCATTACGCCACGCTCCCTCATTTTCTGTGGGACCGGACTGGGACGACGGCCAATTTATAGTCTCACCTAGACCTCCAAAAATTGTTGGCGGCGACTTGGCGGCGCTTCCACTGGCGATAAGTCGGCAGCGTTTTATCGCCGGCACTTTGTAGCCGTATTCATTTGCATATAGCGTACGCACTGCGTATCCACGTGGCCCGTGATTTATGGCCGCATATATGCAGCCCGTTTTATGCTCATGTGCATATTTGTGTCAACTTGTAACTAGATTCGCGCAAACTTTGAAAAACTTGGCACACTTTTTCGTAATTCAAATTTATGTGGTTTTTAGTGTTGCAAAACGTCGCGGGAAAATAAATCCGAGCGAAAATGCATGGAAATAAATTTACATAAATAGATGTTTATGCTTAAACTATTTCATATTTAATATTGTAGTTATATCCGCTCATTTTTAGTAAAGTGTTCTCTATTCGTGCGGTATAAATAGACGAAATAAGAATTCGCAGTCAAAGCTGAGTAACGAAAACTGACGTCAGTCGGCCCACGGCTGGTGTGCAAGTCGTCAAAGCGAAAAAGTGCCAGTTGATTTTTACCTTCGGCAGTCGCCGACGAAGTTTTACGCTTTGTTTTGCAGTAATTTTTGCACTTAATACTATTGGTTTTTTTAATGTCCATCACACTTTTGTCGAAGTCGACAAGCCGAGCCGAAAACTTAAAAACAAAAACTGTATAAATATTTCGAGTTTTATTTTACAAGTGCGAAAAGATAAAGTGACAAGTGTTGAGAAAAAAAAAAAAAAAAAAAAAAATTTATAGAAAAAAAGAATTTGAAATACTTCAATACTTTTACTCGAGTGCGGGTCTCACAGCAATGTCGGTCTTCGACAATCCCGACCAGCTGCGTCAGCTGCAGAACCTTCTTCTTTTATAGATTCTATCGGGGGGGGGATCGTGGTCGTTTTGAAAAATCGGCAACTGGTCAATGGCTGATTCAAGAAAATTTGGATTTAATTTCACCAACAATATGTTTTCTAGTGTTTCCTGACCATGTTGATTCCAATCGTCAGTAAGCATCAGTCGTAGCGTAGAAAATTGTCGCTCCATCGCCACCTGTGATGAATGAAAAATATTTAATAAAACTTTAAATTTATAATAAAAATGAATACTATTTACCTGAGTGGGCGGTATTGCAAAGCACACCTTGCTTATTGCATACAGCTCCTGATCAGAGTTCTCTTTCGCTTGCCAAAACGATAGAACGTCTACATCAATTCTGTGAAATGGAAGCTGAAGAGTCTCAATCTTTGTATACACATCGCTTTTACTTCCAACGTTCGCTTCAAGTAGTCCTTGAGTCAAGTATTGGTTTAGTAACTCATCTTCTTCGTCAAAGCCAACGGATTGATCTGGAATCGAAACCATCGATGCTGAACAAGTGACCTCGGGATTAACTTCCGTGATTCTATCCCAAACTTGTTTTAAATAATCTCTAGCTTTCACTTTTTGCTCTGCTGTCAAGGTATGATGGAATCGAGGATCCAAATACAAACACGAAACTAAACGTCTACTATTCATAAATTTTTTTGTTCGCTTATCGATGGAGTTCAAAATTATATTTCCAATTGTTGTCGTCAAAGTTTGACTGGCATCCTTTACGATTTTTTCAGTGCATATCTTGCATTTTAACCATTGAGCATAAAAATTGCCGTAGTGCAGTTGCTCCTCTTGGAATTTGAGTATTGTTTTTTGCAAGGGACCGAATACGACGCAATAGCTTTCGATAAATTCCCAAAACGAGTCTATTACATAGCTTCCGTCTTGAATGTTACTTCTCACCGATTCGTTTTTGGGTATCACGTCTTTAGCAAGTTTCAAATGTTCCAACATCGCATAGGTTGAGCCCCATCTGGTGGGGCAGTCTAGCTGGGGCATCTTTAGTTGTTTTTGCTCAAAAGTTTCGTGATATCGGTTCGATGGTTTTCTGATATATTTCGTCAAATTACGACAAGTGAATATGTAATTAATTATTTCCGAGGATTTTGTAACATCAAGGACACAAAGTTGGGCACTGTGAGCAGCACAGCGAGAGACTCGAACATGTCCTAATAGGATGTTGGGTGATTTTTCCACCAACTCGATTTTTTTGAGATACTCTTCGTTGGAACAGTCGTCTCCGCTTTCTTCTATGGGCTCTCCGTTATCGGATGTAGCTGACACCATTTGGGCTACTTTAATGTCGTACCTTTTTAAAACATTGATCACTTCGACGGCAACATTTTTGGGTGGCTCTTTTCTAAGTTCAATCATTCCTAAAAAGCGGGATTTTATTTGAGCGTCACTTAGGAATTGTGCACTGATTCCCACTATGTTTCTGCATAGCCGCGAGGCACTGTCTATTCTGAATGACAACAGCTTGTTTTTCAATTCAGTTTTGATGTCAAGTCTTATGTTAGATGCAACCAATTGCAAATGTTTAATGCAGCTTGAGGCCTTTAAGCTCATTGGCTTTCCAGCTGAAGCTTCCAGCCCGTCGCAAATTGGGCCAATGATATTCCTCATGTTCGGTGAATCCAACACCTTTAAGGGTATGCAGTCTTCGGTCACAAGACCAATAAAAGATCTAAGTAACTGTTTTCTATTCACATTAATTTTTAATATTTCCTTTGGTATTATTTTGACAGAATGCACTGAATCCGCCTCGGATGAGGCTGATTCGATCGGTTGAATTTTTTTAACTGATAGGTTTAGATTATGCATCTTCAATAAGTGTGTTTTTAAGTTTGAAACTCTATTGTTTTTCAGTGTGCCATTGCATGTCTTGCACCTGGCTATACCGCTGTCTATAATATTTTCATAGTAATTCCAAACATCATTTTTATTGTTTCGAAGTAACAGGCTATTCACATTAACTCTAATTTTTTTCATGGGTTGTCTTTTGGCATAATATAAGTTTATATCGTGCTGTTGGAATAAATGACCTTTCAGATTTGAAACTCTGTTTCTAAGCGGGGCTTTGCATATTTTGCACTTGGCCTGACCGCTGTCTATATTATTTTCGAAATATTTCCAAAGAGCATTACGTTTTTGTCTAAGTGTTTGTTTCTTATGCACAGCTGTTGTTTTTTGCTTGCGTTTTATTTTTTCAGAAATCTCGGAATCCAGATCGGATGACTCGTCAACTTTGGTTTCGATCGGGGTTATTTTTAAAACTTTTATATTGTGACGATTCCATAAATGTGTTTTTAGATTCGACACCCTATTGTTTTTTAAGGTGCCATTACACATTCTGCACGTAGCCAGCCCGCTTTCTGTATTATTTACGTAGTAAATCCAAACATTAGTTTTTTCGCGTTTTTTTGGCGTCATTGTCAATCGATTGAGTTACTTATTGAGCCTCGGAAAACACTTGACAATATCGACGACGACTGCCGTCACGACTGCGACTTCTTCAATCTTCGCAGCCAGCCGTGATTCTGACGAACGTCGAAAAGCTCACTACTTGCACAGTTTTTGCTTAGTTTTTGTACTTTGACCGCGACTTCTGATATTCGAAGAAGTGCAAAAAGCATCACAGTTCATTTTGTACAGTTTGAGACAGAGAAAAGCAATAATTTACAACTTTTTTTTGGTTTGCTTGCACAGAATTTACTTTTGAACCACAAAATTGGGCTGAACGAACAGCTGTTCGTGTTGGCAAACACCGTTGTTGGCACAAACAGTGCTGGTAGCTTCTACACAGAAAAATGAAGAGAAGAAGAATGCACAAAATATAAACAGTACACAAAATAACAAGCAAAATGGAAATAGAAAAAAGAAGAAAACTATGTGCAGCATTGTTATTAATGCAAAATAATTATTTGACTGCATTGCTCATGCTGCGAAAGCAGAAACAGCGCAGGAGGAAGATGGAGGCATCGAAAAGGGGATTGTTGCAACGAGAGTTTGAAGGCCAGTAAAACATTAAAACAATTTTTGTATTGTATAAATTCACGGATATTAATCAATTTCAGGCTTCGAATGTAAGTTGGGAAGGGAAATAGCAGATGAAGACTCCGTACTCTATGGAAGGGTATTGCGAATCTCGCCAGATCAGTTTAATATAATTTTGGAAAAGGTGCGGACTTTTATACAGGAAATGAAGAGCCCATTCAGAAACAGCATTACCTCAGAGGAACGACTTAAAGTCACCCTGTTCTATTTGTCCACTGGCCGTATGCCGTTTCGTCAAACAAAACCCACATATATACCGACAATTACGAAGATATTAAAGGAAACAATACCTGTTTTGTACAATGTGCTCAATGAAGAATACCTACCGTTTCCGACATCAGCAGACGAATGGAAACAAATCGCCTCAGATTTCTACGATATTTGGGGATTTCCCAATTGCATTGGAGCTATAGATGGTAAGGAACATAAATAATTACATTCCTTTAATATAATTAATTATAGCATTGATATTTAAGGAAAGCATTGCAAAACAAGACCCATGCCAAGCAATGGAGAACCCTCCATGATGCTAATGGTAATCGTTGACGCCAAGTATAGGTTCGTCTATGTAAATGTCGCAACAGATGCTAAAATTGGCGACGCTGGTGTGTGGCTGCACTCTGATTTGCGATACAGCCTGGATGACTACAGCATTCACGTACCATCGCCGTCTGCTCTGCCGCGCTCGAACCGTGTATCCCCATATACATTGGTCTCCGATGAGGCTTTCCCCCTCACCGAGTACAACATGAAGCCGTATTTTAGCAAAAATCTAACCGAAAGTCAGCAGCATTTCAATTATATGCTTTCGCGGAGTCGTCGCGTTGTGGAGAATGCGTTTGCGATTCTGGCCAGTCGCTTCAGAGTTATCTTTAAGCCCATTAAGAGCGCACCAACTTCATTCAGCAAAATAGTTTTAACCTGCTTTTGTCTTTATAACTTTTTGAGAGAGGAAGCCATACGATCAAACAACCATTCGGATGTCATTCCAAATGTTGAATTGGAACGCATTGTAGAAGAAAATTTTGTCGAACATGTTGTGGATCATCGGACGGTAAAATCGACAGGCCTTGGTCCCCAAACGAGGGACGGTCTAAGGGAATACTTTTCCGAATTCCATTTGGATTTTTAACTTTGAAGACTTTCGAAATTTTAATTGTACATATATAGTATTTTAGGTATTTTTTTATTGGATTTCATCATCGCGTCCCAACTGCTTAATTTTGTAATCGGTGATTAATTGCAAAATTTTAATTTCCAAGCGCTTTCCCAAATCTTCGTCTAATTTTTTTAATTCGGCACCCACGAATGCTCCGAAGTCGGCATGGGGATTTGGTGTAGTTGGCATCGCGAGGACGTCGGTGAGGTTTTTGTGCGAGTCCGACAGTTTATTCAGAATTTCGTCATTCGACTCAGAATCGGATCTTTTTCTCTTTTTTGAGGCGTCAGGCGACCAGGGGGCGCAAAATTCCAACTGTTCTTGCACCGAGCAATCGGCCTCCTCAATAGGGAACTTCTCTTCGTCGTAGCTTTCCTCCTCACCGTCATTATAGGTCTTGAATACAAATGAGTATAGATTTTAAAAAGCAGTCTTTGATTATACCCAATATCAAAAACACCCACCGTACTGGTCTGACTGACAGACGTATCGGGATTGTATCCCGGTGGAATCCGGCAATCTTGCATGAAACTCATCTCGTCCATGTACTTCCAAACGCTACGCACTTCCCCATCCTGTGTTCCACTCCGCGTAGCCTTCATCAATTTGTTGCGCTCCGCGTAGTAGTACGCTCTGATGTTTTGCCATTTCTTTTTTACTTCACCTGTAAATAAATATATATAAATGAGTCAATGATTCAATATCGTTAATAATAATGGTTTTATTGGCTTACCCACTTCCATTTTTAGGCCGGTTTCTCTGTTCATCTTTTTGGCAGCTTCCAGCCAGAAGTTCTGCCTTTTCGTTTTTTGTTTATAGTAGACATGTGTGGAGTCCCAAACGTATCGGGAGTTCTTCACAAGTTTAATTAAAAATAGCGTATTTTCATCGCTCCACATATGTATTTTCACATAACTATTCATAATCGCGCCAAATATTTGCGGACGTCCACCAACACTAGTGTAGCGCTCTGACTCGCTCTAAACATACATATGCTTTCTCTGTTCTTCAGTCTGCACCAGGACAGGACTGGCAAGCATGTACAGACGGCAACAATAGTTTATGGTATTAATGGGCTATTTACTTGTTTATTGATGTTTCCAGCAGTTATTGTTTTATCCAATAGTTCAAATAGTCTTTATAGTTTAACACTTTAACTTCACTTCAAGACCAATCTAATCTAATCTGAAAGGCAGACACAACAATGAAAAATTTGCGCTGGTGTTGGTGGTTGGTTTGCACAATAGTGCAGAGCAGAGCTGATTCAGAGTATAACAATCGATATATCTCTGCCGAAAGATCGAGTACAAATCTAAACTAAAGGATATATTTTTCTCGCTCACGCTGCATGCTGTTTTAATAGGATTATTATATAAAATTTCTATAGATTTTTCACTGCCTTAACTTGAAGTGTAGTGAAACCCCATTACCAAAATTAATGCAATTGTAAACAAAACACAGCTGACTATGCAGTGTAACCGTGGCTGCCTGCTGCCTGGTCACACTTTGCCGCTAGCGAGGCTTAAATGAGGAAAAAAAAACACCATGAGGCTACCTGTTGTGCACACATACCACTACAGTGGCAAGCAGCTAACACGAACAACATTTCACAGTTTGTTCTCGGCCGCGTCGGACGTACGTTTTTGTCGTCGCTATCGCAACGGAGGCCGCCGAAAGTTTTTGTTGCTTTTCTCATTCTATGCGCACAATCCCGTGCCTTAGTGTTGGTGTTAGCCAACGCGCCTAAGTGTGTGTGTGTTCAATGCACTGCCTGCAGTTCAAAAGGGCAGAACAACCACCACTACCAGAGCAGCATTGTTTAAGCCAGCTAGTGTGAGTTCTTACCTGCGAAATGGGAAATTAGTGGCTCAATCCGAATCTGTGCTCAATTCAATATTCAAATTCAGGCTAGAAAGTGTCGCGTGCGAAAGTGTGCAAATCAAGCAGTGTTTTTTTCTAGAGCTGAAAAAAAAAACCCGTTCTAGACCAAATGCAAGTGTATGTGTGTAGCATGCATGTGCGTGTGTGTGCGTAAAAGGCAATAAACGTATTCCAAGCGGCCCAAAAGGCTCCAATGTAAACCAAACAAACCGAAACGAAACAAAACGAAACCCCTTCTTGGCCAATACCGAAAACAACGAAAAGGTACGATCATGGCTAAGATCGTGAATGCGTCAGCGTCAGCAACCGCAGCAACTGCGCACGTCACACGACAACAGAAACAACAACAACAACAACGACTACAACATCAGCAGCGGAGCAGATCAGCAGCAAGAAGAATGCAGAGCCGTGCCCGCACGAAAAGCGCAGCTCAAATTACGACGTCGACAGCGCAGCATTTGCTCAAGCGCGCCATTTCAGCGCCTCAATGGATATTTCTCTTCATATTAATATATTTAGCAACAGGTGAGAGCGAAAAAGAGAGGAGAGGACATTCTACGTGGTGAGAGAGCGGAGGAGCGCTGGTCCCCCTCTATTATTGTATTATATGTTTGCATGACACCATTGAAATGTTCTGCCTGATTCTTGTTTGTTGTTTTTTTCCCCCTGAACCACTTGCATTTATTCGAGTGCACTTTTGAGTTGAGAATCAAAGCTCTCAAGTGTGTATGTGTGTGTGTGACGGAAGGGAATGATTTTTCATTGAATTTCGGTAACCGAAAACTTGTTCAACGAGTTTTCCTTCTCTCCTTATTCTAAAGAGGTGACTCATAGATCTGACATGCCTAAATTCTGATGGTGTTAATTATCCGCAAATATTTTATTATTGGTTTTTGGCTATCGCTAAACGAAAATAATGCTTGAGAGAAGTAGATTTGCTTGGATTGTAGATGGTTAGAAAATATTTTACTGTTCGATTTCTACTCACAAGACTCCACCAGCCAAGCAGTTAGCTAGTGTCAACATAACCTTTAGGGATCGCTATGCTTGCCATATTCTCTTTTGAAGTTTAACTGCTTGCTAACTTTAATGAGTGCATTTCTCTTTATTTCTTCCGTCATTCATTTCATTTCCTACATTCGATTATAATGAAATTGAATAATAAAATTGATTCACATGTCGACTGCTGATTCATTATGCGTAATTATCAGTTACATACTCGTATTGACCGAGGCTTCCACACTTATTGTCTCTGTATTTTTGTGCTGCGTGTGCCCGTGCCCCCCTTTTTCAATGGGATTGTGCAAAAACGACCTCAAATTTGGTTTATTTATTTACAATACCGATCGGACCAGTCAACGACTGTTGTTACCCGCAATCTTATCGCTGGCCGGAAAGCAGCGACTTCAATAATTGCCAAACCACCGAAGCCGGCAACGTCAGCAGTTAGCAGTACCGCAATTCCGATGAGGGAACCAGAACCGGGAGTACCGAGAATTTGGATACCCTTGAAAAATTATCTCTCTTATGATTGTTCAATACAATGTATAGGCCCTCTGCTTGTGGGAAATTTGTCTCTCTTAATACACTGTCAAGCATCTGGAAAAATCGAAGCACCTTCTTAAAGGGTGTTTAAAAACACAGAGAGACACCGAGAAAGAGAGAGAGGGAAAGGTTGATAGATGGGAAATCCCTGCACTCCACCCAAACAACTGGTTTTTGGGCCCGTCAGCTCCCATTGTAAAAATCCAGACACATCGCCCGTCGATCATAGTCATTTTCTGAGAGTGGTTTCTTCTCCGTTTTTCCACTGAATTTTCTCCTAAATTGGAATGATCCATCTTTTCAAGTGAAAAAATCGCGGCGCAGGTACACTCCTCTTGAGGGAAACAAATTACCTGTGCTACCTGCATCGCGCTAATGACGACAACACGTGACCCCGCGGGTTAGTGGAAATGGAAATTGTGTGCCCGCGGGGGTGGGGGGGGGACACACCCGCGTGCCGCTCCGGCCTGTGTTTTAGGCCGCCGCCTGTTCTCTGGCCTGGTCTCTGGTCAAGTGTTAAAGTGCAATCGGCCGTGACGCAGGGCCTGGTCATCCCCTTGGACCCCGTGTATCCGTGAATCCGGGGCTACGCAACGGGCCGCGACCATTGCCTGACGCTGGCCATTAGTGCAAGTCGTTAGCTTGCTCTATAAAAATAGCCACAAAAGAACTAAAAAAAGTACTGATTTCCCCCTACGACTATAATAGAGAACCTAAAGGTCGGAGTCAGTTGCAGCAACGTTGCCAGTTTTCAGTTTCTCCATCGATTACCAGGCCGCCTTGGGAAGAGCCGACCCGACCGCAGAAGCCGCAAATATCATACAGCGGGCGACACAACAAAACATTGCGGCTTTCGCTTTTATTTGATTCAATTTTTTAAGAAAATTTCATGCAAACAAATGTTTAAAACTTTGGTTGGGGGCGTTGTTCAATGCTGCCCGAAGTTGGCTTTATCGCGGCCCTCACGTAGCTGCGTTTTATCTCTAGCTATTTGCATACGCAGCGCGATCCCAGCCCAACAGCACGGGCATTGTTAACATTGACTCATACGAGCACCGCGACGGTACAGTGGAATGGAACGCACACAAATTTGACATAAATGGTGGGGTGTGTGTGAGGTAATCGTGGTGGGAAATACAGGTACACGCGGAAGGTTCTGCTTGCCTTCTCCGGGGTGGAGAAGTGGAGACTAGCTTAAAGCAGTGCAAGTAGTATTCTTGCATTGAATAAATATTCTTCTACGTTTTTTTCTAAGGGAAGCTCAACCGCGAAGCTTAAATATTTGAGATGTCTCTAATACATTTTAATGAATGCTAATATTATTAATCATGACTCCACAATTTATTTTAAAAGCATTTCCATTGTTCGGGCCAACTGCGTCCCCACTCCACAATGCAACGCCCACTGATGCAGCAGCTACGGGGCACAGTCCCAGGCCCATCCTCTGTTCCCGGTCTGTGTTTGCTCAGACTGTTCTGCTGGGGACGCACCACCGGAAAAGATTCTCAGGTTTTTGGGTTTTGTTTTATTCAACAGTTCATTGCTTTGTGCCAGTTCGTGGATGGACGGGTCTGGCAGGCAGGCCCAGAGCATGTACTACGACGAGTACAAGGGCCAGGTCGCAGTCGCTGCGCACTTGGAGCCATGGCCAATTGTTTTTTTCCAACAACAGAAACGGGTTCCCAGGCGCGGCTGCGCAGCAGCGGCAGCCAGCAGAATCAGTCCCAGTAGAAGAGAGAGAGAGAGAGAGAGAGAGAGAGAGAGAGAGACTCTCCGGCTCTATTTGAGTGTGCTCAATTCTAAGCAGCTATGTATTTTTTTGGGGGAGTCTGTATGCTTGCTTTTGTGGTTTGTTTTGTTGTTGTTCCCAGAACGAGGAGATAAAAGAGAAGAGCAAGCAGTGGAAGTGGGAATGTACGATACATACGAATCTGTAATCATGATTTCATGGGAGCAAGCTCACAGCGAAACCGTTGACACACTGAAATTTGGATACCCCTTACTCTCAGAGCATATACAAGTTTAAACTGTGTTTGTGTACATTTGCGATAAGAGATAAAGTAGAGCAACCAAATACCCTGTTTAGACTCCTTTGATGCTTATCTTTCAGATAAAAAATGTATTCTGAAGAGCGACTAGTGGGTATTTCATAGTCTGAATACTTAACAAACAGCATGTTTTGTGGGTGTGCGCAGTTTTTACGCACGTTAATCTGCAGCTTTCATGGAATATCAAAACTAATTAGCTTCTACCTCCACATACGCATGGTATTGTGTGCTCATATTATATAATAGAAGCGCCGTATTCATTTAAATATTTTAAAAATATAAATTTCTTCAGCACATTTCTTGGAAGCAAAAGCGGAAATTAGTGTGGGAACTTGTTTGTATCTCAGTTTCGTTCTTTCCTCGTTGAACTATAGGTGTCGGAACAAATGATCCACTATTCTCCAGGTCCAAAGTGCAGTCAGACATGAAAGAGCTCACAGAAGTATAGGGAAAACTATGCCAAGAGGATGGGGGCTTGGGAACGTTAAAATGTTTGAAAACATAGTATGAGTATTTACCATTAAGAAACAACCTTGTCTGTGTGGAGCTCCTTCTCTGACACTCGACCGACTTTACCTAACTAATCTTCTTTTATATTTGGTATCTATT